GTGTGTGTGTGTGTGTTTACACAATACATTTTTCCTAACCTAGTCTGAACATTACTGCTCGGGTGATAACATCTTTCCTGGGCCAGATGATATGTTGAATACTGCGCACCGGCCTATGGGGTGATCTTGTAATGGCCGGCTATTAGTTCCCCGGGGTAATTAGTCACCCATGGGGGTTTATTTTGGTGACTGGTGATCCGGCCGCTCGGGTTCTGTGCGGAAAGTGAAACGGCTGTTTACAAACAACACGGGATTACCAGGAGTATGGCTGTACACACGGATTACCATCAATGAACGGCAGATTAGATGGTGACTCACGTGGATGACTCCAGCAAGTATAAGTGACCCGCCGGCGAGAAAGGGAATCTGACGTTTTATTAAAGTGAATGTTCTGGTGAAATATAAAAAGATATTCGGTACATCTCTGAATTACATTAACCGCGTTTTTTCTCTTTAAAGGAGAAGTATTGGGAGAGTAAAGTGTACTTCTCCCAATATTCTGAGCCGGCGTGTGACATTGCAGCTGGATCTATAGATCGAGAACCGAACAATCACAAACTGATCGCTCAGCTGATGGTCACCTCCGTGCAGAGAGTGGCTGTCATTTAGTCCTCTCCACAGGAATCCCCCTCCCCTCTCTCTTTTCCTCCAGCACTCATTTGAGGATTCCCCCTCCCCTCTCTCTATTCCTCCAGCACTCATTGGAGGAATCCCCCTCCCCTCTCTCTTTTCCTCCAGCACTCATTGGAGGAATCCCCCTCACCTCTCTCTTTTCCTCCAGCACTCATTTGAGGATTCCCCCTCCCCTCTCTCTATTCCTCCAGCACTCATTGGAGGAATCCCCCTCCCCTCTCTCTTTTCCTCCAGCACTCATTGGAGGAATCCCCCCCCCCTCCCTCTTTTCCTCCAGCCCTCATTGGAGGAATCCCCCTCCCCTCTCTCTTTTCCTCCAGCACTCATTGGAGGAATCCCCCTCACCTCTCTCTATTCCTCCAGCACTCATTGGAGGAATCCCCCTCCCCTCTCTCTTTTCCTCCAGCACTCATTGGAGGAATCCCCCTCACCTCTCTCTTTTCCTCCAGCACTCATTTGAGGATTCCCCCTCCCCTCTCTCTATTCCTCCAGCACTCATTGGAGGAATCCCCCTCCCCTCTCTCTTTTCCTCCAGCACTCATTGGAGGAATCCCCCTCACCTCTCTCTATTCCTCCAGCACTCATTGGAGGAATCCCCCTCACCTCTCTCTATTCCTCCAGCACTCATCGCAAGAATGCTGCTCCCCTCTCTCCATTTCTCCAGCGCTCATTGGAGGAATCCCCCTCACCTCTCTCTATTCCTCCAGCGTTCATTGGAGGAATCCCCCTCACCTCTCTCTTCCTCCAGCACTCATCGGAGGAATCCCCCTCACCTCTCTCTATTCCTCCAGCACTCATTGGAGGAATCCCCCTCACCTCTCTCTAGTCCTCCAGCACTCATCGGAGGAATCCCCCTGCCCTCTCTCTATTCCTCCAGCACTCATCGCAAGAATGCTGCTCCCCTCTCTCCAGCGTTCATTGGAGGAATCACCCTCACCTTCTCTCTATTCCTCCAGCGCTCATTGGAGGAATCCCCCTCTCCCTATTCTTCCAGCGCTCATTGGAGGAATCCCCCTCACCTCTCTCTATTCCTCCAGCGCTCATTGGAGGAATCCCCCTCCCCTCTCTCTATTTCTCCAGCGCTCATCGGAGGAATCCCCCTCTCCTCTCTCTATTCCCACAGTTCTATTTGGAGGGACAGACAGGGGAGAAGGGGCGGGCACAGCTAACTGTGGCTCTAGAGAGGCAGAGTCAGCTGTCAATCAGGTAGCAAAGTGGATCCCAACAATATAGTTGGTATCCTTCCCGGCTGCAGCGCGACTCTGCATGTGCTTTCTGCATGTAGCAGGCAGTAGCCCGCTAGATCCTGACTTTGGGTCACAGAAGGACATTCGTAAATCCAAAAAAAAGGTTTGGCACTAGTTTTCAAAATGTTGCAGGTACCGAATACCCATCGATGTGCCAGAAATCTATTGCAGTCCAGTCTTCCCAGCACAGGGCATCTGAACACCCATAGTGTTGATCTGCCAGAAATTAATTTATTAGTAGTGAGCCCTTGTCTAGGAAACTAGAAAGAGCCTTAAAGCACTGCAAAGGTCTGCAAATATAAAAAAGGCAACTTTAAATGTGTGTGTGTGGGGCGGGGTACATTATGTAATACATGAGATATTTGCCATAATGTACCAGTATGCACAATATGGTGCACTAACCTTGTAAATGGTTACCTCCATCGCTGCGCTGTCCACGCTCCCTTCCGGTGCTAATGCCAACTTATCCTAGTATTCTTCCGGGTTTGGCATCTATCAACCTTTTGGTTGGCCAGCCGGCATGCGCACAGGAGTTCCTTCATCTCGGCATGCTGGATCTGTGTACTGAGCTGCACATGTGCGGCTCAATGCACAGAAAAAAGAAAAATTGTTGACAGGCCGGTAGGAGGTTTTTGGTGGAAGAGATTTGCACATTCAGCAATTTTTTCACCAGGTCACTTTACTTCCACTTGAAATGCCCGTAAGGTTTATGTATGCTTGCCCTGTTTTGGTGTTGTTGTTCCTCTAATCATCTCGTTACTGTTTTTCTGTCTAGCAGCTGATCCAGCTGGAGCCCCCATGATGAATGGAAGTTTGCCCCTAGAGGGACCCTCCTCTCCATCTCCGAACTGGAAGGAGTTCTGTGAGATTCACGCTCATGCTGCCGCTGTCGATTTCGCCCGACGGTTCCGGGTCTTCCTGACCGAGAATCCGCAGTACGCCACGCCTGGGGCGGAGGGCAGCTTCTCAAAACGGTTTGCCGAGTATTTCGTGGAGCACTTCGAGACGGAGGTGAACAGGACCCATATCTCGGATGGCCCTTCTCCCACCCACTGCAGCATCGCTCCATTTATGGGCGCTCACACCTCCACCAGGGACCTGTCGGAGACCTGCAGCGACTCCTCCTTGGCATCCCCGGTAGAGACTCAGCCACGCCAGGACTCCTCCGGGATCACCTCCGGCCTGTCCAGCAGTCAGTCCCACAGCTCGGAGGACGTCTCCACATCCTCGGCGACAGCCAAACCGCGCCTGAAGAAGCGCTTCTCGCTGCGCAACGTAAGTCGCAGCGTACGGGGCAGCGTCAGGGGGATTCTGCAGTGGAGGAGCTCGGCAGAGTCCCCCACCGAGGAGACGGGGGCCAACAGCAACTGCAATTCCTCAGCCGGCAGGTCAGGAGGAGAGAGATGGACACACAGGTTCGAGAAGCTGCGGCTAAGCAGACCTCCGGCCCCCAGGCTGGAGCTGCGGGACGTGCGGCGGGAAGGGGTTTTGAACTTCGTGGTGGCGGAAGAGGTGAACAGCAGCAGCCGGGCTCGGTGGCAGAAGTGCCGGCTTCTCCTGCGCAAAACCGAGAGCGATGGGTATATATTGGAGTTCTACATTCCTCCCAAGGTGAGCCATGACAATATCAGCAGAGGAGGGTACTCGGGGATCGAACCACTTGAACAAGTATGCCGTTGTGGAAAGCCAGAGGCCATTTTCTACATACTTGTACTAGGTTGGCAGCCCGTGGTATTGAAGCTGCTGGGGCAGGTGACAGCCAGTCAACAAGTATTTTGGGAATGAGAAGTCAGAAAAGGTTTCCTTTAAAGTGTATGTAAAGTATAGGCAAAAATGTTTATGGTGGGGAAGGATTCGGATCGTTGTCAGGTTTTTTTATTTAGTATTACGGTCTATGTCCCCCCTGGGGAGATTCACCGTCTATTTGTGTCCTGATGACCATTGTTACTGAGACTAAGAGTGGTAGAAAATTCAGAATTTTGAGTTGTCACTGGAACAGGAATAGAGGGTAAATCTTCAATGAGAACACGGCAGCTGTCTCGCCTTGTGGAGCTTTCCCCTCTTTTCCTGTTGTCTCTCCAGGACAGGACTCACCCTCCATATTTCCCTCACGTCAGGCTATATTATGGTGACAGCAGCTTGAGCTTCTCAAGAGGCCACACAACTTCTCATCCAAATTCCGACTAATTTGGAGAGATTTGGGTGCTTCCGCATGGATCACTGAGCTGCTGAGCCTTGTCAAGGGAGGGGGAAGCATGCCTACTTACTGTCTTCTTAAGGAGTCGTGGTTTTTCATTAGGGTCCAGCGGCACTAGGGAGAGACCCCAAAAAGCTCATGTTTTATGTCCCCATATACTCAAATTTGCATTCTGTTTTTGCTACATTTGCATTCTAGGCCGCAAAGCCACGGGTCAGCATCCCTTGCTCATCTGTTGCTGACGTAAGGACCACAACGCCTTTGGAGATGCCAGACAAGGAAAACACGTTTGTGTTGAAGGTAAGGAGCAGTGCTGGAACAGGGCTTCCTTCCTCCTTTCGCTTTAATCTGATAGCAAAAATGAATTGTGATTTTTGAATGCCGTTATTGTATATTAAAGAGACCCTGTCGCACGCATACCCAGCCACACTCTCTTGCCACCTTCTTAACCCTTGCAATGGGGCTACCCCTGCACTGCAAGGGTTAAGTGCTCGTTTTTGTCTAGGTGCTAAAATACTAAAGGTCTACTCACCTGAACCTGGCAGCCGACTGTTACAGTGCTCCCTCCTCTGCTGCAGCGATGGTATCTCCCTCGGTGCTCTCATGTCCCATACAGTGTATTAGACGTGATGACTCGCAGGACGTTAGACCGCTGGAGCAGAGGGGGAGAGACGCTTCAGTGACCGGTCTTACAGCCAGCTGGTTGCGAGGTTAAGCTGAGCATAATTTTGTTATTTACACCCTAGATGAAAATGAGCAAGTACTTAACCCTTGCTGTAGGGGTTAAGAATATTTTTCACAGACGTCTTTTTTAAGGTTGCTACTTCTATATTGCACTGGTCTCTGCTGCGTTGGCATTGATGGTCATTTCCTTGAATCCCCAGACGGAGAATTCCTCGGAGTACATCCTAGAGTCAGTAGACCTCTTGCAGATGAGATCCTGGCTGTCTGACATACAGGACTGCATGATGCCTAGGTAAGTGTTACTCTGACACGTGTTCCATTTAATGGTAAAGCTCCATTTTTTTAAGTTTGACAGATATATATATTTTCTTGTTTCATCCTTTTAGCCCCTCAGTAATAGTGTCCTGTGTTTTATCTCCACAGGGAAAGAACTGACACCGCAGAACCTATACATATAAACCATTCGGAAAGTATGCCCAGCCGGGATCTACCTCTGATACCCACGGAGAGTAATGAGCAGCTCTGCCAAGGTATAGTCAGCCGTGTACCTGACCCATGACCTCCGGTGGGAACTGCATTAGAGCTTCCACATTGTCTTGTCTACATGGTCATATTATATCCGCGTTTTGTTAGTAAGAACTGGAAGCTTCCTTCACCAAGGCATGGCATGAATTAAAGGTTCAGTCAACCCAAAAGTAATAGGTATGAGTTGTTTTGTGTTCTAGAGCCTTGGTTCTCAACTAGTGGGTCGTGACCCAAAACTGGGTCGCGACCCCGTGTTCAGTGGGTCGCCGCGTGCCTTCTACTTTTCTAGGTGAGAGGCTCCTCTGCCTCCCCCTAACGCAGCACTGTCAGTTCTCATGCCAACAGCCATTCAAATTATGCTGTCCAGCGCCGAGTGTCAGCTTGAGGTGGGATGGGGCTATGGCCGCGAAGGAGCTCCATCCATAAGTGCATTGCTTACAGCTCCCTCGTGTGCCCTGTAGAGGTGCCTGGACCGGAGTGACATCACATTCTGGCTCCTGACACTTCTACAGGGCGCACAAGGGAACTGTAAAAGCAATGCACATATGAATGGAGCTCCATCACAGCAGCCCACATTGGACCCCCCAGGCTAGCGACCCACTCCAGTTCTTGTAAGGTAGGGAGACTGGGTGGATCTTAAAAAGAAAAACAAATTGTGTGTGTGTGTGTCTGTGTGATTGTGTGTGTGTGTGTCTCTGTGTGTCTGTGTGTGTGTGTGTGTATATAGGTCAGTGGTTTTGAGGACCTCTTCACACTAGTACAGTGCAATTAACGCAATGTACCAAGCACCTACCGTGCATTCTGATATGGGAGGTGCGTTGCCATTCATTTGATTGGTACCCCAAACGCACCTCCCACCCACAGTTTGCCCGCACTGGAACATGCGGTACCCTAATGCCGTGCGTTCCATTTCAGTGTAGCTTGGGTCGCGACTTAATGACCCAGGACAAATGTGGGTCCTGAGGTTGAGAACCACTGTTCTAGAGTGTGTAACAGGAGGTATGGGAAGACTCTGAACTCCAAGGTGGGTGGGATCAGAGGGAAGGAAATGGATCCATTTTTTTTTTTTTTAAGTGTATCTGTGCTTTGCCCATGTAGTGCAAACCAACAGATTCACTTGAAATGGCCCTCCCTAGCAGAATATACTTGCCTTCCTTTTGATTCCCTGCTGCGAGGACCCACTGTTAGCCAATAGAAGTGTCCACGTCATGCAGTCAGCGAGATGGACACCAAAAGAAGGCCTCCATCTCATGTAAACAGAAGAGGAAAGAAGACTTAGGGCTGGAGCCTATTATGCCTGTGGATTTAGGTAAGTAAAAAAAAGAATTAAGGTAAGTAAAAGGGTGTTATTATTTATTTATTTTTTATGCCAGCGGCCAGTTAGAGGGGTGTGGCAGGAGGGGGCAGAATAGGGGGGCCCAGATATGAGCTTAAACATTTGGGAATGAAAAGAAAGACTTGAGTTGCTGGGGTTGAAGCTTGCGCAGTACTATAGACTCCCCATGTGACGCTCCCCTGTGCTGTCAGAAGCGTGTGTCACATGCTCCTCCCAGCCAGGTATTGCCTTCAATCCTTGGTGCTAAAAAAAGAGGAAACAGGCTGGGAATGGGACATTAAGGCATATCTGAACGTGAGAAGCTCAGGTTTGCTTGAATGGCATATGTGTAAACCTGGGAATGGTGTAAATAGATGGGAGCAGCCGGGGATATACTTCAAATGACTCTTTTCCTTAATTCACCAATAGGAGCCTACGGTGGCCTCTCTGATCGGCCCTCTGCATCCATCTCACCCACTTCAGTTTCCATGACCGCCTCACACTTTGATTCTTTGGAGCTTCTCCCGCCAGAGCTGCCTCCGCGAGCGCCCATCGACGAAGTGGAAAGACCGCAAAACGCTATGGGGGTCCCTTTCCCGGACACCCCAGACACTGCAGGTGACTGCTGATGGTTTAGCTTTCAGTTGGTCAATGGGGAATTTGAGTAAACCTAAAGGGTCGCACAAATCTTAGTAAGCAGCCAAGTCATACACAACGCAGATCTGAGTATTCACTTTAAGTCATTTAAAGTGAACCCCATCCCTTTTTACTATGAAATGCTTTACCCTAAAACAGACACCACAAGATCTCTTCTATTACCTTTAGCAGCCATAAAAGCCCTGCCTGTGATCCTTGACAAGGATGTCTTCCTCAGAGCTTGCACCTTCAAACGCAATGGCTATGGGCCCGCTATTGCAGACTGAGAGGTGCAGCTCTTGCCTTTAGGAGGTAGGGGTGGTCCATTCAGAGCCCTATTTGAGTTTTCGGTAGATGGTGGAAAACTGCTCTCTTGGGGACTCTATTGATGAGATTTGCGGGCTGAGTTCTCAGGTCTGCACACCTGCTGTGCCCATTCTGAGGAGGTAACACTCTCCCTGTTTATAATATGGGGAATGTAGAAGGGGGGAGTGGGAACTCCCTATAGCAGATGGTAACCCCTAAAACCCCCAGGAGAATAGGAACCAAGCCCACCAAACTCCTTCTGTAGTTAAAATATCACATTTCATTAGGTTGTCCTATTGAAGCAGAACTGCAGGCAATAAATAATGATTTCCCCCAATCCCCTCACCTTCCCCTGGACAAATGTACACTCCTTATCATAAGTTTCTAGCCAAATATTTTTTTTTTTCAAGGAATGTTATATAGCGGTCATGTGCTCACTCCAGTCCCTTTCTTTTCCTTCCCTTCTTGTGGTATGTCAGTGGACAGGGGGACAGGGAGGTCTGTGCATCTCATGCTGCTGTGGGCATAGCCACTGTTAGGTAAAGACTAGGGATGCACCAATACCTACACTAGTGTTGGTGCCGATGCCGAGTATTTGGGCGAGTACTCGTACTCACGCAAATGCTCCGATGCCTAGCCCATTACTTCCAGTATCCGGAAGCCAGGCAGCGCGTCATTGCACGCTGCCCGGCTTCCTGATTGGACGGAGAGATGTGGCGAGAGAGCATGGGGCCGGCTTCCCGGCCAATCAGGAAGGCGGGCAGCGTGTAATGACGCGCTGCCCGGCTTCCTGATTGGTCTGGAAGCTGACCAATCAGGAAGCCGGGTGCCGTGTAATGACGCGCTGCCCGGCTTCCTGAATCACCTCATGATGAGGGAGCATGGAGCCGGATTCCCAGCCAATCATTACACGGCTTCCTGATTGGCCAGAATATGGAGCTGTAATGCACAGGAAAAAAAGCAGTAGAGTGAGGCCCCCCCTCTGGAGCAAAGATAAGTAAAACATTATTTCACTATGGGTCATACAGGTGTAAGTATAGGTATGTTTAGTTTAGCATCTTAGAAGGTGGACACTGTAGTTCTGAAGTCTACTTTGGTTGCTTTTTATCTTTTTATTTGTGAAATTATTATTTTATTTTTTTCTAGCTTCATTCCCATGCCAAGGAGAGCAGGACCCTGGAGAAGGGGAGCACCCATTGTCGGAGTACCAGTGGTTCCATGGCACACTGTCGCGACTCAAGGCAGCCCAGCTTGTGCTGGCAGGGGGCACCAACAGCCACGGTGTCTTCTTGGTGCGGCAGAGCGAGACCCGGAGAGGGGAGTACGTGCTGACCTTCAACTTCCAGGGCAAAGCCAAGGTCCGTTACCGTTTTATCTCCATCGTGCCGGCTCTGTCCTTCCTCATTCCACACAGGTTCATTTTCACTTTCTCTGTCCTCCCACAGCACCTCCGCCTGTCCCTGAACGAGGACGGCCAGTGCCGAGTGCAACACCTCTGGTTTCAGACCATCTTCGACATGCTGGAGCACTTTCGCGTACACCCGATACCTCTAGAGTCGGGGGGCTCCAGTGATGTCACCCTCATCAGCTACGTGGTGTCTTCGCAGAGGTTACATGGTAAGGGTTCTTCACGTTACTGGCAGCAAACATATTAGCAATGGTCTAATCTCAGGGTGGTGGCACGCAGGCGTGTGGTGTGTTTCAGCTGGAGATGTTCTCTGCTGCTTATCGTAACCCAATGAGCTCCTTGTTAGTGGCCGTAATGTCTGCTGCTAAGCAAAGCTACTTTACAGACCCCTCTGCTGCCCTGTCTTTAATGTGATAGAGGCTGTGACATTAACAGCAACTCCTGTAAAATCACTTGAAGGGAATCTGTGGCCGGGCTATGGACATTCAAGTATTTACTTTCAGTTTTGCTCTCCCCTCCTAGGGGGGACTTAGCAGTTTTGCTCTCCCCTCCTAGGGGGGACTTAGCAGTTTTGCTCTCCCCTCCTAGGGGGGACTTAGCAGTTTTGCTCTCCCCTCCAGGGGGGAGGACTTAGCAGTTTTGCTCTCCCCTCCTGGGGGGAGGACTTAGTAGTTTTGCTCTCCCCTCCTGGGGGGAGACTTAGCAGTTTTGCTCTCCCCTCCTGGGGGGGGAGGGACTTTGCAGCTTTGCTCTCCCCTCCTGGGGGGTGCTTAGCAGTTTTGCTCTCCCCTCCTGGGGGGAGGACTTAGTAGTTTTGCTCTCCCCTCCTGGGGGGAGGACTTAGTAGTTTTGCTCTCCCCTCCTGGGGGGAGGACTTAGTAGTTTTGCTCTCCCCTCCTGGGGGGAGGACTTAGTAGTTTTGCTCTCCCCTCCTGGGGGGGGAGGGACTTTGCAGCTTTGCTCTCCCCTCCTGGGGGGTGCTTAGCAGTTTTGCTCTCCCCTCCTGGGGGGACTCAGCAGTTTTGCTCTCCCCTCCTGGGGGGGACTTGGCGGTTTTGCTCCCCCTTCACAGCAGTGACTCAACAGCCTTCCAGTTTTCTAATCTGTCATATAACCACAGAGCAGTGCATAGGGGGACGGGCAGAGAGAAGGACTTGAATGACTTCAGTGCCTCTGTTGCAGACTTTGAGTATGAGTTGTTCCACAATGGCTGCAGAGGTCAGTTAGGGTCTTATAATGCTAATTTACTCTGTGCTAAGAATATGTAAATACCTGAATGCAGGGCTTGACAAATTTGCTTTGCATTTAGGAGCCAGCTAGAAAGTTTGGAGCCAGTTTTTTTGTTTTTTTTTAAACTAAAAGTTTAAAAGCTTTATTTTCAACAACAGTTGTCATTTTCAATTCAATTTAATTGGCGCACGCGAAATGTGTAAACACAGCAGGCAGTGGCTGGGAGCAATAGCAAGCCTGCCATTGGCTATTTCACTTTGCAATACCCAATAGCAGGCTGGCTATTGCACCCGCCTGCTGTCAATCAGCAGAGGAGGGATATGAAGGAGAAAGTGGTTGTAATAGCCAACTTGTTATTGGCTACTGCAATTTCAAATAGCCAATAGCAGGCTGGCTTTTGCTGCTGGCCATTGGATGGGCAGTTGATCCGAAGAGCGGGGGCACGGGGGGCGGAGCAGCTGCCAGCAGTCTCTGCTCCCCGCTGGTCACTGGCTGCAGCGGTCTGTGTCCCCTTCGATCCCCGCTGCCTCACTGCTAATACAGGAGGGGAGAGCAGTGGGGGTTGAAGGGGACACAGACCGCATCATGCGGAGGGCTCTCAGCGGGGAGGAGATAAGCAGAGCTGATTTGTCAGTGGAGGTGGCGGCTGGGGACAGTGAACGTGCATAAGCCCATTCACCAGGACGCAGTTTCTAGTCGCCATGGTGACCTGGGATTTGTCGAGCCCTGCGGTAATGTCCATGGCCTAGCCACAGATTCGCTTTAGGTTAGCAGGAGACAATAGGTCGACTTAAACACCCGTGCTTGTTCGTGGACTGAGGCACATGCCTTACAAATGGCACTCTGTTATAAATTGCAGTGTTTGTGGCTACAGGAAGATCAGCTCCTCACAATTGTCAGGTAACAATAGAGCATTCGTCTCTCCCCAGCTGAACAAGTTTCCATGCTTCCATAAGCTATGGGCAGTTTAGCATCAGCTGATCATCACTTAGGTCAGGGGTAGGCAACCTGGGACCTCCAGCAGCTACGGTGGAACTACAAATCCCACCACATGTCTGCCTCTGGAAGTCCTACTTTGGCTGTTAGTCTTACCATGCCTCCTGGGACTTGTAGTTCCACAACAGCAGGCGTGCTAGGGTTGCCTACCCCTGACCCAGCCACACTCAGATTGCAAATGCTTCTGCTGAAAAAGCGACCCTTGTGCCATCACTTTTTGCAGATCAGACTGACCTTTAGTAGGTCCGGGAAAGTTTCCCTCAGTCTTTCTGAAGCAGATCCCTCCTTTTTAAGTAAGAGATCCTGATCTGATTGTGACAGGTTGAATGTTTACATCATGTTGCCCAGAATTTACTTGCTGGATTTTGTTCTTGTCATTGGTTCTGTTGAGCAGATAAGATGTGAAGTCCATAGTGATAGGTCTGAATTTGCTGGACAAGATGGCCGCCAGAGGAAGTCACATTTGCTCAGCAGAGGAGATGTCTCTAAGTGCTTTCTCCACCCCCACCCCCTCCCCCCCTCCTCCACATGCATTACTTTCCTTCTCCCTCTGCCCCTCCACTCCATCCTTTTCTCTGATTGGGCACCGTCTGTTCTTTGCAGGCCGAGACAGGGCTGACAGTAGAACGACCGTATGTGAGGTCCCTCACCGCATCCCAGACTCACCATCAAACCCCATCTCCATTGGAGCGAATGACTGTATGTAAGTGCTGACTACAACCATTCATGCCCCATTTGTGTCCCTTCCCACAGCCCCCCTCCCCGAAAGGTGAGAGATCAGGGGGTGGACACCTGGGCCAATGCCGGGAATTGTGGGCTTTCTAATATCTGAGAAGGGTACACAGTAGCCAACATGTAGAAGATCTTCAACTCCCAGCATGTCCTGATGAGGCATGCTGGGACTTGTAGGCCCTTCACAACTGGAATGTCGCACACCACCTCACTAACATCAGGCTTTCAGTCTTTGTAGCGCACCACTATGTTACCACACTCACTAGTCACATATGGCTCTGAATACTCACCCTCAAATTATGAGTCTTTTCTTTTGACAGATTTACATTTGACCCTTAGCTTTTACGTCCTTAGTCTGAGCCTTTGTCTGGGGCTGACGGGCTGCTTGTGGTCTGACAGTTGTTGAGTTGTTGCCCAGTCAGCTGCCTAACACCACCATAACACATGTGGTCTCCCTGCTCCTGAGTGGGCATAACATAATCACAAACCCCTGTAGCTGTGCACATTCTTCTTAAAGCTACGGCTGGGATCCTGCAGCCATGATCCTGTTTTTTTAACCACTTCAGGGTCAGGACGTGTATATATGAACGGCTGTCCAAAAGGGGGTTAAGGAAGTTGCCAACCAACAGTTCTACTAGCATTTACAGTATGCTACAGTGGTGACCTAAGCTGGCCAAACATCTATAGGTTACCTGCAGATTTTCTATGGTCAGATGGAAAAAGTGCAACAGATTCCCCCATCTATGTGTATGGAGGGATCTCCCTCTGGGCCCAGCTTCAGTATCTTGCTTGTCGGCCCCCCGCTGGCTCTCACAATATCTGAACGATGCCTGCATCCAATCAGATTGTTCTGGTATTTTGACAGCCAGCGGGGCCGACTAGCAAGAGCCTGAAGCTTGGCCCAGAGGGAGATCCCTCCATACACATAGATGGAGGAATCTTGCACTTTTTCCATCTGACCATAGAAAACCTGCCGGTAACCTATAGGTGTACAGTCAGCTTTTAGGCCTCATTCACATGAGAAAGAGCCGCCACGTACAGCTCCGCGATGTGTGCACGGCCGTATTGGGCAGTTACCGGGAAGGACAGGTGCTGCGTGTGATTAGTACGCAACCCCTGTCCTTCTTTATGGGAGTATGCCGCCCTACGCTCACCCCAAGTGCAGGCGGGTGCCGGTGTCCTGGCTCGGACGCAGACAGGATCCATCCTGTCAGCATAAGAGTACGGACACCCGCATGGACGTGCAGGGCGGGTGAGCGTAGGGTGGCGTACGGCCGTATACTCCCATAGGGAAGGACAGGGGCTGCGTACTGATCACACGCAGCACCTGTCCTTCCCGGGAGCTGCCCGATACGGCCATGCACGCCACACGGATCTGTACGTGCCGGCCTTTTCTCGTGTGAATGAGGCCTTAGAGAAAAAGACAATGCAGCCTATGGGGTGTATTTATAAAAATTCATCCTGTGAAGCTGCGTGCACATTCGTTCTCTGCAAAATCGATTGTTATTAGGCAATTTTCTCTCCAGGTTGAATGTCATTCATTCATTCATTCAGAGAGAATCCAGACAGTACTGCGCTATGACCACTAGATGGAGCTGAGGATCTATTTATTTGCTATTATCCTCAGCTCCACCTAGTGGCCATAGCGCAGTATTTTCCGGATTCTTCTGAATGAATATCACTTGACCTGGGGACAAGATGGCCTAATAACATTCGATTTTGCACAGAACGAATGCGTGTGCAGTTTTGCAGGACAAATAGCTCCCACAATGCTATGGGCAGCCTGAATCAGATATGCCCATAGTGCTACTGTAACTGTTCCCCACTTGTTAGGTTGTAAGGTGCTCTTGCCTATTAATCTAATGAATATTTTCATGATTTTATACACGTTGAATACGCCCTTTATCTGCAGTTGATTGATACCTCCTGTAATGATTGCACATTCCTCTGTGTTGCAGGATTTGAGGTTTTATGCTTAAACACCAGCTAGGTCTGGAATCAATATGGAGTCAGTTTGGCTCGTGACCATGTTCTCTTTTTTTCCCCCCCGTTTGCAGAGGCAGCCAGCAGCCGTAATCCTCCCCCGCTGCCCCCCCACCCTTTGTCGCGGCATCATAGCGCAGAGGGCAACCTGCAGCCGCCCTGGTACCCGCCCAGGGCCTCTCCTCCGGAAGATTCCGCTGCCAGCCGCCCTCCTCCGGAGCCTCCTAGCCTCACCCAGAGCGAGGAGGGCCTGTCACTCGTGGAAGATCAGGAGGAAGCCGCAGTCCGCCTACAGCAGCTGCAGCCGGGGGGCGCCAGCTCGGAGGACATGAGCGATGCCAATGCAGCTTCTCGGGCACGAGCTGTAAACAACCAGTATTCCTTTGTATAATTGGGGGGGTGTGGGGGGGAGGGGGGTCAGGCTGAGTAACAGACATATTGGTATCTGGATCTTACTCCCATCCTTGCCTTCCTAGACACAATGCAGTCTTGTTTCCTGATGCAGACACACTAACATGGGTAGACCAGAGATAACACAAGCCCATTGCAGCCCCCCTCCGTATGTGAATAATATAAAAAAAAAAACCACTACAGTTCCGTGACACCGGGCACACACTAACAGGTCCATTTAAGGTCTGCTAATATGGTACACTACACCCTTTAGTGGGAGGAGCTCACCTCAACCACAATGTCCCTGATTGATTGACCCATCTATGGGCTAGACCAGCTATTCTCAACCAGGGTTCCTGCAGACGTTCCTAGGGGTTCCTTGAGCTGTGGCTGATTGACCTCCCATCTGATGGTACCTGCATAGTTTTGGGGGCCAATGTCACTTGCCAGAGCCAGCGGCATGACATCTCTGTTTCCCAGTGAATTGCCTTTAGCAGGGATTCCCTGAGCCCTGAAAATGATATCAGAGGGTCATCTAGGAGTAAAAAGGTTGAGAAAGGCTGGACTAGACCCAGCCCATGTGACCAAAGAGTTGAAAGAGAACCGGTCATGATTGGTCTAATGCAAGCCGGCTTACTTGTATACATCTGCCCATCACTTGCTTTTGACGCCTCAGTTTGAGGCAGCAGCAAAAACGAGTGCCCCGTTCCCATGCCCTAGGTTGGGTCACGCTCCTGAAAACCTGGGTGCTAAATGCCGAAGGGGGCTCGTCCTCTTCCCGCAAAAATCAAATAAGTCAAGGAAGTTATCAAAAAAAAAAGCTGGTAAGTTCAAATGCTGGCAACTTTATTGTTCTGAACAAACAAGCATGGAGTATCTGTCGTTTGCCTGGAACAATAAAGTTGTCAGTGTTTGAACTTTCCTGCAATGCATCCGGCTTTTTCTACCGCTTTGGGATCAGCGATCCTTTGAAGTCTCTCTCTTTATTAAAGTCAACTGCCAGGGCTTTTGCTCTGTCTCCCAGCTTCTCAGTATGCATAACGTCATGATACGACAGAGCCCCCATCTATAATAGGAATGTGGGAAAGCTGCAGTGCTTGGCTGATACTGTGATGCAAGCTCAGTTGCTGGGAGACTGTGAGGTCAGGCAGCTGATTAGGCTTCAGATGTCCTCTCGGCACTGTTTTTTTTTAAGGCGGAGCTAAAGAAAGGGGCGGCTCTAAATATTTTATTGCTCAGTTGTAATCGTCTTGGACTGTATGGTTAGCTTCTTGCATGTGCCTGCTTGTGACTGGTTCTCTTTGAGCGGGGACACAGCTTTTGGTTGGTCGGTTTTGTTGTTGTTGTCAGTGTCTGCCAATGTGCGATTTTTGTCTTCTGATTTTTGCCTTTTAAATTGGCAACACGTTAAAACGCGTAATGGGACCACAGGCCCAATATAATGAAAGAACCAGCAGCCTTTTCCGTGGCGAGTCCCTTGAAGTGAAGCTCCAGTTTCGGTACCTTCCAGGAAAGCTCTATACATGGGCAAGACTCTAACAAACCTTATCGCGGATCCTTACCTGCCTGCGTTCTGTAGGTATGGAGATACTGCTAAGTGATTCCAAAGAAAAACACTACACTCCGGCATCCCTCTAGACGTGTATTGCCGACCCCTGGCATCCCTCTAGACGTTCATTGCCGACCCCTGGCATCCCTCTAGACGTGTATTGCCGACCCCTGGCATCCCTCTAGACGTTTATTGCCGACCCCTGGCATCCCTCTAGACGTTCATTGCCGACCCCTGGCATCCCTCTAGACGTTTATTGCCGACCCCTGGCATCCCTCTAGACGTGTATTGCCGACCCCTGGCATCCCTCTAGACGTTTATTGCCGACCCCTGGCATCCCTCTAGACGTTTATTGCCGACCCCTGGCATCCCTCTAGACGTTTATTGCCGACCCCTGGCATCCCTCTAGACGTTTATTGCCGACCCCTGGCATCCCTCTAGACGTTTATTGCCGACCCCTGGCATCCCTCTAGACGTTTATTGCCGACCCCCGGCATCCCTCTAGACGTGTATTGCCGACCCCCGGCATCCCTCTGGACGTTTAGCGCCGACACCCGGCATCCCTCTAGACGTTTAGCGCCGACCCCCGGCATCCCTCTAGACGTTTAGCGCTGACCCCTGGCATCCCTCTAGACGTTTAGCGCTGACCCCTGGCATCCCTCTAGACGTTTAGCGCTGACCCCTGGCATCCCTCTAGACGTTTAGCGCTGACCCCTGGCATCCCTCTAGACGTTTAGCGCTGACCCCTGGCATCCCTCTAGACGTTTAGCGCTGACCCCTGGCATCCCTCTAGACGTTTAGCGCTGACCCCTGGCATCCCTCTAGACGTTTAGCGCTGACCCCTGGCATCCCTCTAGACGTTTAGCGCTGACCCCTGGCATCCCTCTAGACGTTTAGCGCTGACCCCTGGCATCCCTCTAGACGTTTAGCGCTGACCCCTGGCATCCCTCTAGACGTTTAGCGCTGACCCCTGGCATCCCTCTAGACGTTTAGCGCTGACCCCTGGCATCCCTCTAGACGTTTAGCGCTGACCCCTGGCATCCCTCTAGACGTTTAGCGCTGACCCCTGGCATCCCTCTAGACGTTTAGCGCTGACCCCTGGCATCCCTCTAGACGTTTAGCGCTGACCCCTGGCATCCCTCTAGACGTTTAGCGCTGACCCCTGGCATCCCTCTAGACGTTTAGCGCTGACCCCTGGCATCCCTCTAGACGTTTAGCGCTGACCCCTGGCATCCCTCTAGACGTTTAGCGCTGACCCCTGGCATCCCTCTAGACGTTTAGCGCTGACCCCTGGCATCCCTCTAGACGTTTAGCGCTGACCCCTGGCATCCCTCTAGACGTTTAGCGCTGACCCCTGGCATCCCTCTAGACGTTTAGCGCTGACCCCTGGCATCCCTCTAGACGTTTAGCGCTGACCCCTGGCATCCCTCTAGACGTTTAGCGCTGACCCCTGGCATCCCTCTAGACGTTTAGCGCTGACCCCTGGCATCCCTCTAGACGTTTAGCGCTGACCCCTGGCATCCCTCTAGACGTTTAGCGCTGACCCCTGGCATCCCTCTAGACGTTTAGCGCTGACCCCTGGCATCCCTCTAGACGTTTAGCGCTGACCCCTGGCATCCCTCTAGACGTTTAGCGCTGACCCCTGGCATCCCTCTAGACGTTTAGCGCTGACCCCTGGCATCCCTCTAGACGTTTAGCGCTGACCCCCGGCATCCCTCTAGACGTTTAGGGCTGACCCCCGGCATCCCTCTGGACGTTTAGCGCCGACCCCCGGCATCCCTCTGGACGTTTATTACCGACCCCCGGCATCCCTCTAGACGTTTAGCGCTGACCCCCGGCATCCCTCTGGATAGATCAACTCTCAGTGCAGTAAACCTCGAGTCCGGGGATGCCATACTAATGCAATGCCAGTAATCCAACCACAGGCTCTGTGCAGGCTTCTGGGAGAGGCAGAGAGCCAGTGATGGGGGCAAGCCGACTGGAGTTGGGACAACGGATTTTATAAAGACTGAATACTGTTGCCGTGGTTGCAAGCTTTTCACTTTTTAGGAAAAGATTGAACTCTGTCATTTGAAGGACATTAAATGACAAAATGGCTCGGGAACCATGTGCAGGTCCTGTGAAGAATACCTGAAGCTGGAGTTTTTCTTTAATGTGGCCCCCGTTGCATCTTAGAGTCAGTGACTCACTAGGCATTAAGGCAGGAGTGGGCAACCCCGGCTCTCCGGCTGTGCTTTAACTACAAATCCCTCTGCCTCTGGGGGTCACACCTGTAACTGTCAGTCTTGCAATGCCTCATGGGACTTGCAGTTCCACAACAGCCGGAGGGCCGGAGTTACCCACCCCTGCATTAGAGTCAGGATCAGGTGGGGGATGACGGCCTCAGAGCAAGACGGCGTTGGCAGCGTGCATCATTCTGTCTCTTTAAAGCTGAACTCCGGGCTAAATCACCGATAAACTACATAGAAGGGCAACTGTACTTCTGCCCATCCAGTCCTAAGAGTTATACAGCTCTGCCACATAGCACAAGCCCTGTCTGACCGGATTTTCTCTGCTTCAGTTCAGTAACACTGACAGGTCTTGTCCCTCCCCCAACCAGTGACTGGGCAGTGAAAGGAGAAGCAGCAGAATGATGAGCTCATCTCTCTGTCACTCCGCTTTCGCCTCCTATCAGCATATTCCTTCCTTGCCATGCAGCTCCCCTGATTGGCCCCCTTTGTGCTGCATCAGTTTCTCCCAGTCTAAGCCCTGCCGTACAGGGGCTGATATTGAGTCTCATTTCGGTACGAACACTAAAGTCATTCATTGATGTTTTTTTATACCTGCCTGGAGCTTAGCTTCACACTCTAAACTATTGTGGGGTCCAGGCAGTGTGCCGGCTCCTGCCGGTGACAGAAACTGTATGGGGAGGCACATGCAGGTTCAAGTGGACCTGTCACCTACATAAGAGTACGTTTTGTGGGCAGAACTCGTGATGAGGACGGGGCGGGTTGTCCTTTCCATAGAAATGCCACCATGTTGTCACTCTCTATAGACACCATTGTTGGCTCGGCACCCGCCGGGGCCGTACTCCCTACGACTGGCAGCTCACCATTATAGGTACTTTAACATTTTGGTACTGAAGTTAAGTTTTTTTTTTTATTTTTGAGCCACGGTGATCGGTGACGTATTATGATTTTTGTACTTGCCATCAAATCATTCTCTTTGAGTCCATTAAGGGGACACAGGAAGTCACATACTGGTGGGTTGTGCTGCCAGCTGCAGGAGAGGCGCGGTGTAAGACCTTTCATGTCCCTCAATGGACGAGGATGAAAATAGTCATATATTGTCTTTGCTGTGGGCGGCAGTATAACCCGGCAGGATATGACTTCCCACACTAAGTTATTTCTCACGTCGCTCTCTTCTGCTGCTAAATGTTGTTTTTGTTCTCCGGTTCATAAAAGTTTTTCATGGCAAGATTTGTTGTTTTATTTTTGGATATTGTGGGTCAGAGTTCCGTCTGTTGTTGTTGTGGTCATGTCCTCAGCGGGGAGTTTTCCCTTTGCTTGCTGTCCTCAGGACGGGGATTACTGTAGCAGGTAATTATACTACAGGAGATGGTCAGAGACTGGGGACATACTACAGGAGATGGTCAGAGACTGGGGACATACTATAGGAGATGGTCAGAGACTGGGGACATACTACAGGAGATGGTCAGAGACTGGGGACATACTACAGGAGAGGGTCAGAGACTGGGGACATACTACAGGAGATGGTCAGACACTGAGGACACACTATAGAAGGGGGTTCAGAGACTAGGGACATACTGGAGGAGGAGGTCAGAGACTGAGAACATACTACAGGAGACGGTCAGAGGCTGAGGATATACTACAGACCAGAGACTGGGGACATACTACAGGCAGGGGGTCAGAGACTGAGGACCCACTACAGGCAGGGGGTCAGAGACTGAGGACATACTACAGGAGGGAGGTCAGAGACTAGGGATATACTACAGGAGGGAGGTCAGAGACTGAGGACATACTACAGGAGGGAGGTCAGAGACTAGGGATATACTACAGGAGGGAGGTCAAAGACTGAGGACATACTACAGGAGATGGTCAGAAACTGGGGCCTGAGGGCAGCACAATATGCACCATAGGGGCCCCCCGTGGTATAGAATATCCACAGATGTTTTCAGTGGGAAAAGCAGCTGACGGTGTTTAGAATCTGGTCATGTGATGCATTTTGCTGGGATGTGTGATTGGACACATCAGTGAATGCCGCGTTAGAGCTGCTGCCTATAGGCTCAGTGCTGGCACGTCGGGGTTATGGGGGTGACAACGGACTTATCAGAGATATAATTTTACAGTTGCTGTGGTCGGGTGACCAGGGACAGGACAGCGTGCGCACATGTGAATGGTTGTGATAAAATCCTTGCGCTCCCCGCTCTTGTATTGAACCCAATCCCATACGACCCCCATCTCATGCCCGCCCTGAATATTCGGTCTGTAGGTGTTATACCTTGACTGGGATTTGTAGTTCCACAGCAGCCAGAGTGCTGAGGTTTCCCGCCCTTGAGGTACCTGATCTATCCAGTCAGGCCGGCCCTTGTTGGTAGATCTGAAGGAGAATGTACAATGTGGTTGTATTGTGTGCGGTGAGCTTAACCCTTCCCCCGCTCTGGGGATCGCTCTGCCCGGGGTCACCGTCCCTACGGCTAGTTCTCGATCCGTCTGACCGGCGGCCATTTCTGCTTTTCATAATGAAGAGCTTCAACGTAACAGGTTCTCTGCTCGGGGGATCGCGCCGTGTCCCCTTTGCCTTATTGATCACACGCGATGATGTCACGACGATCTTTGGAATTACCGCTATCCAATGCCTACCTCCCCCTCCTTGTAGGATAGACGGACCGGGGGCTCCGGGGCCTCCGATGTGACGTTTGCTGCTATGTGTTCTGTGATCATGTGTGAGGCCGGAGAATTCGAATCATCCCTGTATGAGCGTCGGCCCCAAACCGCGCCTCGTAATGTGCGCATATCTGGCTGCATTCGGGGTCGCACTCTTTGGCCTTCCTTCCCGCCTTCCTTCCCCTGGCTTCCCGCCTTCCTTCCCCTGGCTTCCCGCCTTCCTTCCCCTGGCTTCCCGCCTTCCTTCCCCTGGCTTCCCGCCTTCCTTCCCCTGGCTTCCCGCCTTCCTTC